ATATAAAATTTCACAAAATCTAGAAACACAGACACACATGGTAAATCATACAGGATAATTCTTACTGTGAACATACCAAGTAATCAGGCATATACTATAAACACAGAGACAGAAACTACACTGGTCAATCAACATATTTTATAACAAAATTGGTAGATTTCCTTACTTCTCAATTTCATTTACAAAATTTTAATGAATTTCTTTCTGTTTTATGAAAAGTAATAGCATACTTCTTTTGGCTTATTTTAGACTTCACCCATCGTCTGGTATGTAAAAGACAGAAGACCACGACGTTTCGGAGACTGGATCTGTCTCCATCTTCAGGTGGATAGGGAAGGATAAACCTACTCAGTTGGGCCCGTTAGAAAGAGCTAGTCTCAGTCACTGGACAAACCCCAGTTTGTAGAAAAACAACCTATCAACAACCGACAACCGGTTCCATCAGTGGGAGAAAAGAATAAAATCACAGTAAAAACATGATAGAAAATTTGTGCCAAGCATGCACTTGTCAACAATGTGAAGAAACAGAAGTATAGGTTATTTTCCATGAATTCAGTTAAAAACGAAAGTAAACACTGGATAATGCATGCCTAATCTGCATGGATAAAGAATCGTGCCACCATGGCGACTTCCGGGAATCAGACTAATCCCCGGAACAAAACTTGCAGGAGTAGCGAGACCACTAATATCCATAAAATTACATTTTTGATTTGTTAACCTCTTCATTGATGAGGGGGATCCATACAGGAGAAATATCCAAACTGGGTTGGCTGATCGGATTGGATGAACATGGCATATGAGCCGATTCTTTGTACTTTCTGTATCTGCTGTTGCTTTCAACCTCCAAGATCCTAGCTTCATCCCAGCTTACCCTGTGACCTTCTTCATATGCATGCTGAGCCAACCTGGATTTCTCTAGAAGACCCTGCTTGAGATTGTGTCTGCGTTCACGGATTCGAACAGCCAGTGGTCTGCCTGTTTCACCAATGTAGCTTCTGCCACACTGACAGGGAATGATATAGACACACTGTGCCGTTTGTTGAGGATCCCTTTTTGGTCTAGTTCTCATGAGCAAAGATCATAAAGCGTGTCTAGTTTTGAAGACGGTCCTAATATTATACTGGTTCCCTATGCGCTTGAACTTCTCAGAGATTCCCTTGACATACGGGATGTACACCGTGTCAAGAGGCTTTCCACCTTTTTCTTTTGACGACTACCGCCCTTGGACCTGATAACCGAGTCAATAAAGCCTTGAGAGTAACCACTCAGTAGAAGGTTGCGTTTCAGATTGTTAACCTCCAAAACCTGGTCTTGCCGGTCTTAGCATATAGTGGTAGCTCTATCATGAAGGCTATGAACAATTCCTATTTGACATGGTGATTGGAATTGTCATTAAGATATCGGCCAGTGTGGGTGGGTTTTCTGTAAACTTTTGTGGTCAGAGCCGTCCATTTTTTCATGACCAGAACGTCCAAGAAAGGGATTGTTCCCCCTGATTCTATTTCCATGGTGAACTGGATAGCCGGTCTCAGACTGTTGAGGTGTGTAAGAAAGTTCTGTATCCCCTCTGCACCACGCGGCCAGATCACAAATGTGTCGTCCACATATCGGAGCCACAACGACGGTTTGTCCTGCGCTGAGTCGATAGCCAGTTGTTCAAAATGTTCCATGTAGATGTTGCTAACAACGGGAGAAAGGGAGCTACCCATTGCCATGCCATCCTTCTGCTGGTAGAATCCATCGTACCCTTGAAAGTAGGTGGTCCTCAGGCAGACATCCAGAAGTTCCATGATGGCTTCCACCTTCAGGACAGACCATTCTGCCAATGTGTTATCGTTACTCAGCCTGCTTCTGATGACCTGAAGGGCTTCGTTGACTGGTACGTTGGTGAAAAGACTAACCACATCGAAACTGGCGAGCATATCCTGTCTACAGAGATTAACAGACTTTAACAGTTCTATGAAATGGCCGGAATTCTTCATGAAGGAACCAGATCTGCCGGCCAAAGGGCTCAGTATTTCTTCTAGGAAGCCAGCCAAGGTATAGCACGGGGAGCCAATTGAACTCACTATGGGTCTCAGTGGAATGTCTGGTTTGTGGATCTTATGGAGACCATATAGGTGTGGGGGCTTGCTGTGGTATGGGGTAAGCTTTCGCTTCACCTCGGCCGGAAGGACAGTTTTATATTTGGCAAGGATTTGCTGAACTCTTCTCTCAACCTTGGCTGTTGGATCTTTTGCCAGGGGCTCATAAACTCCAGACTTCAACAGGGTGTTAGTCTTGTCCCTGTATTTTATTTAGTCTAGCACTACAGTGCAGTTGCTTTTGTCTGCTGGCAGGATCCTGATATCTTTGTTGAGCCTCAGGGACTTCACAGTTTTCAACTCCTTCTTGCTTACGTTGGAGGTGGGTGACTTGGACTTCTGCAACATAGACCTGACCTTCCATCTGAATTCCATTCCTAAAATGTGTGGGAGTTTTGTAACCACCAATTCAACAGCACATGCATATCTAAGTTGAAATGTTGATTTACTATGGAAAAATTCAAGCTCTTCCTGTTATGCCACCAGTTACGCCGTGGTGACAAGGGGGCGTGGAGGTATCCCCGCTGTCACCTTCTGTACTGCAGTCACAGGGGTAGGGCTAAGGAAACGCTAAATTACTTCCTCTATCGTTGCTTCATTGGCTAGGGGCACACTGTTCACCGGGCTTGGCAGGAGGGCGCAGGTGCGAAATGGGGTAAGGGAGGAAATCACAACANTCTCTACACATCCCTGCCGCTAGACACACCCTCTGCAGTCTCTATATTACACGTCTACCTCTGCATCACTCCGTTGGATCACTCTTACGCCCTGTTGTAATGTTCCTAACTCATGTCCCATTGGAGGAGTTACACTTTAATAATATCACAATTATTAAGCATGGCGATAAGAGTAGTTTCACTTACTTTGCGTGGAAACTGCAGACGGACGGTGTTGCCTGGTGTCTAGTTGGGCCCTTTCTGGCATGGCCTGCGGCCGAAATTGGCCAAAAATTACTGTTTGAATAACCCCCATAATAATTTGCTCTCCGGGTTATATACCTTTATTCATGCTAACTCATTACTTTCCCGGGGGGTGTAAGTCCGCTTCCAATGACGTCTTATCCCAAGGTGGGTGATCTCGTTGGCTGGGATCCTAAGGGGATGAACACGCCCCTTACTGCTAGACCATTTGGCTAACACTTTTACCTGCAAACGTCCCCCCATCATACA